AATCTCCTGGCATCAAATTGCATTTGATAACTCTCCCAGGAAGTGTCTTGGAGTATTTTCATGACATTAAAAGGTACTATATAAATGTAAGTTGCTTTTGATTAGTGCATACATACGTGAAGAATAAATAATTAAACAACTAAAAATGGAATTTAACTATAACTGTTAGCATTGTACACAATGATCTCCAGCCTGTTAAAGGAGTAGAAATACTTTTCACATCCTCACACCACTAGATTTTAGAAGTGACATGCATCGTAGTGTAAGTATAGATGACAATGCTACTGGGAATTTTGTTATAGTGTGCAGAACACTACAGCCTTGACAAATGTTTCTGCTTCTCCAGGAAGACAAGCAAAGCACAACAAATGCACCAGAGCTTTGATAACCTCCTGACATTATGCTGGCTTTGCACACTGCACAATCTCCAGACAAGCCTGAGGGAATTCCATGACAAAAATAAGAAAAAGGCTGCTGTGAATTTTCAGGCTGCAAGGTAAATGGTGAGCTTTGCAAAGACATTGTCCATTCCCTGACTAACTACATAACAAGCCTCAATTGTGCCCAAACTCTCTAATATTCTGCGCCTCAGAAAAAGCAAAGCAATTTAAACTTTTCCAGAAAAACCCTTTATATTTCTAAATTACGAAACAAATCTGACATTTACGAAAGTTGAAATAAAATGAAAAGGGATTTCATGATTGATGCTTAAAACCTTAATTCAACCTTGTAAAGGCCTGCAGTCATATAAAAAAATGTTGGACAGAGTTTTATCAGAAATTGGCTCTGTGTAAATTTTGACAAGTTTCACGGAGGGTTTCTCTATGCCAGGCACTGTGAGTTTTCTCACATGAACTTCCCAGACTCACTTCATTACCTGTGCACTATACCCCCTATAGTACCCCACTCATTCTCTCACTCGCCATAGGGTAGAAGTATTCACCACTGTCAGGGCCTCTTGACAGTCCAGAACTGCCCTGCACAGTGTGTGCCATTTCCCTGGATGTGTCAAAGGAACACTGGCTCTCCACTTTGCAGACAGGACTCAGGAGGACATACTGAATATAGTGTTGCAGAGGAGGCCTCTCCACTTTCCTCAGGACCACTAAATGAGAGCACAATACCAGACACTGGTATGAGGTTGTCACCCAGATCCACATTCTGAAAAAAATGCCCACAATGCTGGAAAAAAGCTCAATTACCTTCTCTGCTCCATAAATTTAAGTGGCACCATCTTCTTTCTGCTACTTCACAGTTAACCAATCACTTCCACTGCTCCTACCAAGGCTCATGCTCTACCACGCTCAGTCATATGCAACATCCTTTCTCGTTCACTCTCACCCACTCCAAATCCCCCACACTTCTAACCCTGTATAGCACCTGCATTGCCAACTCACTCAGTTGGGACACCTCATCACCCTTCTCTCAGTTTCTCCAGTCCTTAACAGCCTTCCCACTTTCACCTTGTTCCAGGCGTACAATAGGGCTGAGGGATGCAAAATCAGCACTGAGGTACCCAATATTTAGTTTATCACCCACGAGAAGGAAAGGATCTTGATCCTGACTGCCCTGAGCTGCCGACTCATTGTTCCCAAGTCCTTGGATTCATATTGTAGGCTGCCCTTGACTTACTGTGCTGGGATCTCCTAATTGCAGGTGTCTCCCTTGTCCAGATTAAAGACTGTTCCACATAGATTTTGAGACATGGCCATTTGATTGAAGTACACACAGACTGTGTAAGTTGCTGGCACATGGTGAAATTGGCATAACATGGTACCATATAACATGTTCTCCTCTTGACCAATGACAGCTGACAACTATGACATGCAACCTGGCTTTGCGCCTGCATGATAAGACAAGTCAAGACCGAAGAACTGTCAGCCTTAAAGTTCAGGCTGAGGGGGCGAAGTGTGAAAAGGCAAGGTTAAAGCAAAATAAGACAGAGAGGCAGTGAGCATCCAAGCAGGCAAATGTCAGTGACTGCTAAGACAGCAAGACAGGAATGCCGAGATGCCACTAGGTACAATCCATAAACTGAGTTTATGGCTGAGTGCAAAGTGTCCTGGCAGCAGCATTACAAAGAAAGCTGCTGGTGCCCTCCAAAGTGCAGCACTGAGCCGCAGAATGGTCTTGCAAGTATATTGGAGATGCACCTTGAGGGTACAGTGAAGTGGTTATGTGTCAGATAGCAATATCTGCAGACAGTAGGTCCATGCTGTGACTATCCATAGAGCATGCTCGAGATATTGGTGACTGGTGTCCCAAGATGGAGGTCCAGAGAAACAAGCAGTGAGAAGGAGTCAAAAAACAAAAGTTGCTGGTAAAGCTCAGCAGGTCTGGCAGCACCTGTGAAGAAAAATTGGGGTTAATGTTTCATTGTGAGGAAGGGGCACAGGACCCGAAACATTAACTCTGATTTTTTTCTTCACAGATGCTACCAGACCTGCTGAGCTTTTCCAGCAACTTCTGTTTTTGTTCCTGATTTAGAGCATCCGCAGTTCTTTTGATTTTCATTTAGCCAGCAGGAGTCACCAGATTACCACTTTGACTTTCGTATCAGGTACTGGTGCCATTTTGTTTTTATCCAGCGGGTTAGAGAATAGGGAATTGCTTATCAAAGAGATGATAATAAACTAGTGAGATGCGAATACATGCAAACAAACCTTTCACTACTCACTATTGAGAATCTGGTCTCATTGTTCAACACTCTGTTGGAAAACGGGGCTTTTTTCACTCAACATTAAAAACTCCTCGCTAGACTTCTCATGCAATTTTGCCAACTTTATGTGCCTAGTAAATTTCTGCCCACTATTTCTACCTCGAGTTGAATATACTGCAAAATAATAGGAACCTGCTGTTTCAGACACAGTGGAAAAAAATGTTTTGTCCAAATTTATGTAAAATGGTGATAATATTCGTAGAATCATACAGCACAAAGAACATGTGACCCAAGAGAGCTCTGGTAGCTATTTGAAAAGTCTATCCAATTAGTCCAACTCCCTGGCCCATGGCCCTTCTCCAAAGCCCTGCCATTGTTTTCTGTCCTTTTCAAGTTTTATTTGTATTGAAAATCACAAATACATCTGCATCCAGCATCCTTGAAATTGCTGCTATCCCTATTAGCAGAAACTCACAATACAAAAAGGTATTCTCTGCAGCCCTTTTGTTTATTTTTGCACAGGATATGACATCAATGGTTAGGCCAACATTTTTTGCCCACCCTAACTGCTGCTAAGAAATCAAAAAATACTGGCCCTGTCAGTGCACCCACATCATATTTAAGAAATAAGACAAAGGTGAGGGGTATAATTTGCATTGTGAGTTGTTTTGATTTGTTTTTGCTGTTTTGGTTCATTTGCCAATTAACATAAACCTGTGTCCTCTGTTGACTGTCCCCTGTGCCAAAGAAATGGCTCCTCATTATTTGCTCTTCAAAATCTCTCATAATTTTAAGCATGTTTATTTACCTCTTCCAAGATGCCTTCTCCACTGGGAAAAAAAACACCAGCTATAGTTTTTCTGTATAACATGGAAGTTCCTCGTCTCTGATATTATTCTGATAAGAATTCCCTTCTGCACTCTATGTAAAGCCATGTCATTCTTCTTAAAGCACATTGCCCTGAACTAAACACAATAATTTAGGCCTAAGCAGTGATAAATAAAGGTTAAGAAAAGCTTGTTTAGACTGACGAAAAAAATCACTTGTATTTTCTGCTAACTGTCCAAAAGTTCAACTGAAGAGATATCAAAAAAACTTATAAATTCAAGAAACGCGTCGACCAATTTCAGACTATGGAGGAACCATGGCAATTTCTTTCTTATTATCCGTCAGATAAAGAGTCTTTCAACACCAGGAAAATAGTCTCATTTTATTTAGTGTATTAAAAAATATTTGCCCACTTTGAAGCACACCAAAAATAAGATTTTCAAATGTTATGATACCGTGAAGTTGTAGATTTTTTAAAATCAACATTTTCAATCCCGAGAGCAGGTAAGACTTGAACTGGGCCTTCTGGCTCAAAGGTAGGGACACTACCATTGTGCCTCAACAGCCCTTATCCTCAATTTGTACACTGTCATAATTCTGTTGTTAAGCAGTTCAAGTAGTTATCTTTACAGTCAAAACCTAAGTGTATTTCCCCAGCAACTATCTCCAAATTCAACTTATTCCTCACAGGTTTCAACTGAAATTCCACTCTTCATGATATCATTACAGACAATTATAAGATATCCAGAACTCCAGGATTTGCTGTTCTTGCTTCATTCTAAGATGCACTTTCAAATGCCAGGTACCACCTTGTGCATATTCTTGATCCCTTCTTTAAGAAATACCAACTCATCCTATCTCTAAGGTGTCCTGCTCCACAGTTTCATCTCATCTTTCACCACATTCGATGCTTTAACAGAAACATTTTAATTCCTTTGAGGTGTAAAGGATCCTAAGCTTCACCAACTCATGGATACCAATATCCCTTGAGATCCTTCCTCCTCTATCCTTCCCACCCACCCTATGTCTTCATGATACCTTCTGACGACATATTTCCATCACTTTCTGCATGATGCCACCACTGAAGCACCCCCTCCACTCCACATTCAGAAGTATGAAGGGGTCATTCCCACTTTCTCTCTCCTATGGGGATGCAGGAGATAAAGCACCAGCTCTTTTACCTCCTCCTTTATCAGTATTCCAGGCCAAACTACACTTCTTCCAATTTAAGCAGTGATTGACTTCTACTTATTTCAATTTAGCACGCTGTATTCGCTGACCACAGTGTGATCTTCTCTACTTTGGGGAGGCACAATGCAGACTGACTGACCTCTTTGTGGAACACCTCCATTCAGCTGCAAACATGATCTTGAGCTTCTTATTGTTTGTGGTTTCAGTTCCCCAACTTGCTCCCATCTGAATTTTACATCTTTGACTTGACACAGTGTTCCAATGAAGTTAATAGCAAACTCGAGGTACAGCACCTCCTTTCCTTCTACAGCCTTTTGGACTCAGCACAGACTTCATCAATTTCAAGTCATAAACTCCGTCTCCATCTTGCTCTTTTTTATGCTAGTGCAGTCTTGTTTAATTTCCTTTTTTATTTCTTCACTTTCAGACAGCTATCCATTCACACCTCATCCACACACATCTTTCGTCACTTTACAATACCTAATAGCACTCTTGTCGGCTTTTATACCAGGAGACCTTTAGTCACTTAACCTGCCCTGCCACTCTCACTATTACAGATCTTTTGTTCTTCCTACACCTTGTCCTCTTATACTGTCTTAAAATATAATTTCTTATATCTTTAGTTCTGAAGACTTGCGTTTCTCTCCACAAAAGATAACAGACCTACTGAATATTTCCAGCATTTTCTGCTTTATCTCAGTATTCAAAACAGGCTGCCTTCAATTTAAATGGGATTTTATTTTTAACAACAGGAGTACACTACTTGGATGATCAGGCTTATTTGCAAACCTATTATCACAATAATATCTGGGTAAGCATTTATACAGGAAAATAGAAAGCACTTGTCTAGCAGCAACTACAGAAGAACACCTGGTAAATTGATGCCACCATATGCATCCCTTTCCTACTACATTAAGAAATGAGGAGTACATGTAAAAATAAATGAAACCATCAAATGAAATCCAGATTAGACTGACTCTCAAAATGTTGCCAACATATAATAACCAAGATTCTGTGGTAAAAACAACAGCCAGGCTATCCACGTTCACCATTATTGAAGAGAAATCACACAGCAACTTCACATTCGCAGAATCCTGGCATTGAAACACATGGAAAGGCATGAGATTGCGGTAATTATATGCTAAGTATCCACTAAACATGTCAAAAAAAGTTATGGCCTGTCAATTAAGTGAATTTGTAATTGTGTGTTAAATTTCAATTACTATTAAATAACTCCTCTGTCGTTGAAAATTAAAATTTTACAATCATGGAGTCTCATTCCTTCAGATTTTAATTATTGCTGGGGATTTTTAAAAAAATCTTTTTTAAGTTTCTTTCTGTCCCCTTCATGTCTCTCTCTCTTAATCCTATATTTATTTTCTTTCCTTTTCTCTTTCCATAGGTTACTTGGCATTGAAATAAATATTCTTACTTGTACTTCGTGGTTTAGACTCTGCAAGTGAGAAACTGGGCTCTTGTGTCCACTTTCTGGGTGGTATAAGTCCACTTTGAGCTCCAAACTTGTTTTCTGTAATATACATCTAACTTTTCAAGAAAACGTGAAAGGTTTCAGCAAAGGTCATGGCTGAGAGTACACTTTGAGATGCAAGTTCCAGGCTTAAGGCAGTGCTAAGTATATGGGAGTAAGATAACGGTTTTGAGAAATAGGTATGAGTCCTGATTGACACAGATTGTTGATACAGAGTTGGATGGTGAGGCAATTTGAACATTGTCTCCTTGAACTTTGAGGCTAAATGTGAAGTTGGTAGGATATGCGACAACTGAAAAGCCACTCACTGACCTTGACCCAATTATTAGATCGTTGCAATTTTTGTGACACTGCATTCATATGACTGTGCTTCACTTGACTTCAATGTTATCTACTCTCATACCCTTTAACTATGTGTTTGACTATGGCTACATGCAATTACAGAACGTCTCTTCTATTTCCCACCTTCTTAACCAATGTCTTCCATGCAGCATCAAAAAACCACTTCCTCACTAATTGTCCAATACCTCACCATTTTCCAAGTCAGTGTCACTTCTTGTAAGGCTGCCAGCATCCACTCAAGTCACAACATACCTCCACTTTAAAAAGTTCAGGTTAGTTTTAAACGAAAGCAGAGGGTTACAATTTTGGAACCATTTCATGCAGCTAATGAATAGAGTGGTTCACACTAGTTGGGTGCATAAATTAGTCAAATAAGCAGACAGCACAAAATGGGCACACTCCCTACACTGTGTTCCTGTGCTTGAGAGCTATCAGATTCAGACCACAAATTGATAACAGTCATTCTAAACCAATTTGGAGACATTGTACTCAAAATATGGTATGATATTTGTGCTGAATCTGCCTGAAGGCAGGTATTCATTCCATTTTGACTGCTGATGTTTCATCCTAAGCTGCTTTCCTTAGTAGTTTGTCATTTCACTAAATCATAAGTTTCACAAACCTAATGCAAATATAAATATATACAACATGAGTGATGGACAATTTATCACATGGCTGTCTATATATAAGGGAGAGTTCCAAATGATGGCAAGAACGTACCTTCATATTCAAGGTACATAAACACAAGCTGGCTTGTTAACAGAGATAGTCACTCTTGTCTGAGACCAGGACCCAAGTTCAATAGGTTTGCAAAAGCCATCTTTCTCTAGTGCATTTCAACTCATGACAGTTAAATCTATCAACCTAAGAGAGGTTTAGAAGAGTACCTAATTGTGTCTTATTTTATATTCCTCAAAAGAACACATCTGCAAGATATTTTGACTTGCTGGCCAATCTGGCTGCTTAGTTAATTTATGCCAAGTGAAAGGTGATATTCAGGGGTGCTTCTGGGCTTTGGATGTTTACATTGCATTTTCTTAATTTAAGGTTAAATTGAATTCAAATGGTTGCTGACTCTGATTCCCATTTGGTAATTGAGTGCAGTTGGAATCTGTTTCAACAAAAGATTTTCTTTTAAAAGGGGCCTTTAGTGAAAGCATGTCCTCTCTTCATTGCATCTGATTAGCTAAAATATGATAACCATCCATTTTTTACTACATTGTTTAATATAGTATGAGTTGAATTAAGTTGTGTTTTATATTGAGTTTTTAACATAGAGTCAGAGATCTACAGCATGGAAACAGGCCCTCGGCCCAACTTGCCCATGCCACCCAGTTTTCACAATTTAAACTAGGCCCATCTGCCTGCGTTTGGTTCATATCCCTCCATACCTATCCTATCCATGAACCTGTCTCAATGTTTCTTAAATGACAAAAATGTACTTGCTTCCACCACTACCTTTGGCAGACCATTCCATCATCTTTCTAACTTACTTGAATAACCAAAAAAAAACATGAATTGTACTTCTATCACCCTAGTAAATCAAAAAAGATACAGGTTCCTTTCATTTGAAGTCTCTGTACTCTGTCAGCATTTCCTAACTAATGGAAAATACCAGAATAACTTTAAAATAATAAATTTTACAATTGTTTATCAGTAAATTCTGCCTCATAACTCAAAAAATGTTAATCAATTTACAGACACTATGGATCTATGGGAGAGAAAAATAAGTTGTGGAAATTCAAACAGAATTTTGGATAGTATGTATGTGGCTCAAATGTTAAAGATTTTTGGAGAGAACATAGAGATTTTACTTGGGGCAATAGTTTGCAAAGACAGTGTAAGTGAGGATGGATTTGTTTTTTTTCAAAAAATCAGAATGATGATGGCAGCATTGAATGGTACCAAAATGGTATTCAAGAAAAGCAGCTCATTTATAATGTCAGCTAGCATGGAGAGTATGAAAGGAAACTGGTTTTAGTAAGAAGGTTGATATGAATGGATTCAAATGCACTCATGAATGAGATAAACTTGATGAAGGCAAATTTGGATATGGGAGTTAAACTAGAGATAAAAGGGGATTATAGCTATGGTGAAAAACAGCTTGGGAGGTTTGGCTTGATGGGAAGAGGAAGCGGGGAACATCAGATGAACATATGCTTCTTTTATGACAAACGCTTCTGACACTGTGTAGAGGTAATGCTGAAGGAGAGAGAAGAGGCAAGTCTCTACTTACATACAAAACTGATTATTGGTGTACCTCAAAAGAACTTGCTTCATAGAGTGGAGATTCTCTATTATTTAAAAAATATTTTGTTTCTTTTCTTCCATTTTCTGAATCTGCTACTCTGTTTAACATATCCTGAAGCCAATTGGGTGGGCAGCTGAACTACTTCCAGCTTTTGTCAATGCTTACCTGGGTAAACTATGGATGAAAGTGCCCCAGAGTGACTCACCACTACTTTCCCATCTCCTCTGTAGGGAAAAGACTGGCACAAAGTACATTGTGTACCTGTGTACCGTGGACAATCACAATTTTAAAAAAATGTTGAACCACTGTGTCCACAGATTTAAATAAACCTGAAATATGTCCAAAAGAGAAGCCTTTGAAAGTAGTCTGGCAAGCTCCTATCAGAAAACCGTTTGTTGGAATAGATTATTTTTCATTCATAGTTACCTTAATTCCTAAGCTGGTGTTGGTGGACAGAGTCTCTGTAAAAGTTTAAAAAAAAGGTGTGACATTGATCACATCTTGCACAACTATCATAAGACCTGTAAACAAAGACCTGTGTGTATAGTCAATGACATGTCAACAACTTTAATTAAATCTTCTACCAACATTGATATTGAACTAAAGCATTTAGCAAGTCAGAAAAACACATGTTATATATTTGTGCTCATTATTGGACAGTGATTGGACATTTCATGCAGCTGTAAAATGATCTCACTTGGGAATTTTATTTCAATGTTTCATTACTTCACTACAGCTACACAGTTAACACTTCTTTATTTAACATCTCTACACTAAAATTAAACGTGTTGACACTTACCCTTTAAAACTGCTACACTAGCGCTGTGCCAAACTACTTCTCTTATTTTGAAGCTACAGCATGCAAACAGACCATGACCAACACCTACCAGAATAAAAGCTATTCCCTACCAAACCAAATGCATCTGGTCAGAGTTGCTGATTGTAGTATTAGTTAATTTGAGCCTTTTATATCTCAAGTACAGTTCTGTACAACACTTTAGTTTCATGAGAATTACAAAATGCAGTTAGAGTCCAGATAAGTCCACACTGAAGTGACAAGAAACAACTTACCATTAATAGTAGAAAGGACGTGTAACGGTAAAGAACAGTCTCACGATCTTTAAACAAGATATTGTTCCTATAACAAAAGTGAATATATTATTGGAGTTGAAGCTGACAGTCAGAACTCCAAAAAGTTGTGCAATAGAACACAATTAATGCATCTAATAACTAGGCTGAGTACTATTAAAGATCCTGTTCCTGCTATTTTCCCTCCAATATCAGTAAAACACAACAAATAATCACAAAGGTGTTTCTTCAGGCTTTCCTCTGTGCTTTTATCTGCCTTTCTCGAAACCCATACAACTTTTCAATATTTGCAGAAAATCAACTGCGATTTTGAAACTGCGGTTCTCTCCTGAAAATCCGAGATGCAAAAAATCGGCCACATTTCATCTCTGTGTACTGCAATCACGACTGGAAGGCAAAATTAGTGCTTCCCTGCAATAAATGACACAGGGAACGGGGGAAGAGTTACTGCTACACTTACTGCATGTCTGCCCACAAAGCATCTCAGCTGACAGCTGTGGTGTTTGTGCAGATGTTGCCCCTGCCCAGACTGTAACCTTCGATTCCGTTTTCACACATCGGTGCTTGCTGCCCGACTCTGGCTTCCTTTCGGATTTCAACACAACAGCGTGGACATACCTTGCACCATGGACGAGCTGAGATCAGTGTAAAGTGCAGCGAGCTACCTGCGCTCCGGTGCAGAGATATCACATGCAAACCCCAGTAGCCGGCACTGCGAAGACCGGTAAGCAAAGACCGGACCGGATTCAATCGGATCGGCAGCAGTTCGTACCCTCTCGGTCCGCTCTAAATCCTCCATCCAACAAATGCAGCAAAGTAAATCGCGAACAACAGCGTCTCCTAGCGACTTACTCAAGGTTCAATGAAGTCATCGATAAATAATGCATTTGATATAAGGACATGGATTTTGCAGGTTCAGTTACTATTAAATAAGGATATGAGTGCAAAGTTGATGAAACTTATACTTGGTGAGAGATTAGAATTTGTTTAGTGGCTTCAACTACATAGATGGAACTACAAGTTTATTCAAAATGTTAAAGCAGTTCCCTACCGTACGAACTTGAGCAACCCATTAAATAAAGATGATCCTAAATAGATGAACAAACGAGGGGGATCACTGAGATGAGAGATGTGCCGGCCCCCATTAAATGGATGTCTAAGAGAGAGCAGTCAGCCAAGATTGAAGCCATACAACTTAGTCTTGACACTGAAGCTGGACACAGCATAGTAAATATTCTGAATGATTACTTCCGGCAAGAATGCAAAAGGAAAAACAGGAGCAGCATGCCTTTTCTCTGAAGATATCCCAAATAAAATCAATCACTTCAATATCAGTCCTTATAATTATAAGGACTTTGAAATCCTTAAAAAGCTAAGAGTCTTCAAAACAAATGAAGCCCAGGGAAATGGTGCTTTTCCTAGAGTTCCAAGGGAAATTTGTATAATATTGACAACCATTATGAGAGAATCAGTGGGTAACTGGTGTGATGGTTCACTTGAAACAGACTGTGATAATAACATGTAATAAACTATAAATGTATTCATCTTATTTCCTTCCCTTGAAGCTTGAACTTCATTATCAGGATTAAGTATGAAGATTATTTGTACAATAACATAGTAAATAGATGGTATTGATTCAGAAAATAAATGATTCTACTTTGCCAGCCTTATCACCTGCATTGAGGCATTGACAAGCTAAGTGGACTGGAAAGTTTTACGATGAAATGTACCTGATTTTCAAAAGAGCATTAATTGAGAAAAACAATTTTGAAGGGTCAAGGTATCCTTAGTGAAAGATCAATAACCAAATGGGGGGAATGGACTAATGATATTTGCAGAAGGATTAGAAGGGAGTTGAGAAATATCTTCAACCAGAACGTGATGAGGTTCTGGAACTCACTGCTGAAAAGGTGATAGAAGCAGAAACTCCCTTGGCATTTAAAAAGTGCCAAGATATGTACTTGAAATGCTGCAACCTAAATTCTATGTACAAAGAGCTAGGAAGTGGAATAATGTTGGATCAGTCTTTGTCTGCTAGCTCAGCCAAATGGCCTCAGTCAGTGTCACAATTTTCCTTGATTCTAACATTGATATGTGAATTACACATGAAAGGTTGTTAACTAATATATGCATTGTTGAAATTTGAGCAGTTGATTAAAAAAAATCTCAGAGGGTGAAAACATTAACCTGAGGTGGGGGGGGCCCTATGCTTTTTTTTATTCATTCACAAGATGAGGGTGTTGCTGGCTAGGCAGCATTTATTGCCCATCCCTAATTGCCCAGAGGGCAGTTAAGAGTCAACCACATTGCTGTAGATCTGGAGTCATATGTAGGCCAGATCAGGTAAGCCTGGCAGTTTCCTTCCCTAAAGGACATTAGTGAATCAGATGGGCTTTTCCCTGACAATTGACAATGGATTCATGGTCACCAATAGATTGTTAATTCCAGATATTTATTGAATTCAAATTCCACCAGGATTCAAACCAGGGTCCCCAGAATGCTATTTGTGTCTCTGGATTAACAGTCCAGTGATAGTACCACTAGGCCATTGCCTCCCCCTGGGATTAAGGGGCACTTGATTCCTGCACCATTAGTATTTCTAATTTACATAACTGAACTAGATCTGTACAGGGAGAAATTTGTCCTCAGTGCACATGTTTTATACCAAGATGGAATGAGGACCAATTCTGGGGACCAAAGACCTATGCATTCCAGTGATGCTGCTCTTAAGTTGAAGAGTGTTTCAGCCATGAGTGATGGTCATAAACAGGCATCATGCCCTTAAGGAAAATTGGAATGAAGGCTCCCTAGGCTTGCATATGGCCCAGAAAGCAACCACCACAACAAAAAGTAAGATTTATACTTTAGGTTTGATCTGAAGCCAAGAGCAGAGCATCTCTCCTAAACTTGCAGTTATTGCCACTTGACATTAGTTATCTTTGGGCCTCACATGAATATCCGTGGCAGAAACTCACAACCCTGAGAAGATATTCTCCTCAAAGCAAGGGACAGGTCATAATGCAAGTTGTCCAATCTTCAGAATGTATGAGCTATCTGTTGCAAAGTGACAGGTTGTGCAAATTATGCTAATGAGGTTCAAACCCCAAATTTGAGCTGGTTTCCTAATTGATGTTTGCAGTGGGGAATGAGTTCTGATGATGGGTGATTTTCCCTCCTCCCTCTCAATCTGAATTATCCTGACCCTTTCTCTTTGGCTAGACTTCCCCATTTACTGACCATCCAACTAGCAGAATTGCCCCTCACCATGTACAAAGGGGAACATAGACAAGAGCCAACATGAAACCATAAAAATGGAAGAAATGTTCTCAATGTAGACCAGGGAACTTAATAAATAAACAACAGCAACTAGAGTGAAAGAAAGGACATTATTAAACATGGCCATCTACCTCCAAGTTATTTTGTGGAACTTATCACTACCTTCCTATGGGGGGCCATTTAATGCACTGGTTTTACTGAATGATTAGATCTCATTATATAACTTATTAGGTGAAATTTAATGTGTACAATCTTTTATTGTATGGTTTGATGCCACAGTGTGAGATTAGATTCAAAACAAACTGGCCAAGGCGAAGGCAGAGTCAAGAACTAACTTGAGGTTTGCACTTCAAAGTGATACCATTTGTGATGCATGAAAACTAAATACTGCCGTACATGGTGATCACTGAGGGGAAGTAGAGGGGATACAGCTAATGCCACTGGACTAGTAATCCAGAGCTCTAAACTAGAGCTCATGAGAAGATGATGAAATTTCAATTCAATAAAAAAAAAATCTTGAACTAATCTAATGGTGACCATTTTTGTAAAAAAAGTCCATCTGGTTCACTAATGTCCTTTGACTCCAGACCCACAACAATGTTGTTGACTCTTAACTGCCTTCTGGGGTGGCCTAGCTAGCAAGATGGCTGATAAATGCTGGCCCAATCAGTGATGCTCACATCTCATGAATGAATTTTGAAAAAAATCTTTTAGGTTCTGATTTCAGAGTTACATTGAGTAAGGATGAATCTACCTTCTTTGTGTGTACATGGCCATGTACTCATAAGATACTCTAAAGTTATAGCCTAGGGCAATATTGGTACTGTAGTGGTAATATCACGTACCTAGTAATCCAAAGATCCAGGCTAATGTTCTGAGAATGTGGGTTTGAATCTCACCATTCCAGACAATGAAATTTGAACTAAATAAAATCTGGAATTAAAAGCTAGTTTAATGGTGACTGTATAACAATGATTGTCATAAAAACCAATCTGGTTTACTGATGTCCTTTAGAGAAATTGTTATAAAAGCCCAATTGGTTCACCACTGTCCTTACCTGTTTTGGCCTAGAGTGATTCCAAGACCCATATGAATGTAATTGACCTTTAATTGGCCCCTCAAATAGCCTAGGGAGTCATTTATGCACACAATGCTTTATTGGTTGAGCCTGTGTGTGGACTCAGAGAAAAGTAAATGACTTGAAAAAAGAGTTGGTCACTAGAACTGTAACCATAGAGTACACATTTTAAAGCATTGTGAATAAAACCTGTTACTCACATGAGACTGAATCTGATTCATTTTGACAAAATGTCAATTTGGTCAAGTTTCACAGAAGCTTTGTCTCTGCAAGGCTGAGTGAGTTTTCTCATCACTACTTACAAAAAGTACCTATTTAACTACCTATCCTGCTCCCATATTGTCCTCTCATTGATTCTGGCCACATTATACCTGCTCCACACAGAACAATGTGCCACTGCTACATATCACAGAATGGACACCCTGGAGCTGACACTGTCTTTAAAAGGCCATGGCACACTCGGACAAACATCATTTGTACTGGGTTTCTCTACACATATCTAGACATTTGACCCAGACAAGGAAAAAATTGGCACCTTGCTTTCTGGGCAGAGACTTGGAAATGCTGGTGGTGCAGAGGCAAGACATCCCCTTTGCCCAGAACTGGCTGTGCAGGCCACAACATCAGACAATGCCAGCCAGGACTGACGTTGCCACCCAGTCAGTGCAGCCTCACCATCTAGAGGATGGTGTAGGAAAAAGGTCAATTACCTCCTTTCCACTAGCATAAGCAGACAAAGTAAATAAGGTAGGAGGGGATAAAATAGTTAAAAAGGCATATGGGATACTTACCTTTATTAGCAGAGGCATTGAGTTTAAGAACAGGGAGGTTATGCTATGCAAAACATTGGCTGAGCCACAGCTACAGTATTGTTTGCAGCTCTGGAATCCACATTATAACAGGGATACAATTGAACTGGAAAGAGTGCAGAGCAGATTTACTGAGATGTTGCCTGTGCTGGACAGTTTGAGTTATGAAGAGAGATTGGGTTTCCTTGGAGCAGAGGAGACTGAGGGGGCCATGATTGAGATGTATAAAATTATGGAGAGCATAAATGGGTTAGACAGAGAGGAGCGTTTCCCTTAGTGAAGGGATTATTGACCAAGGGGGCACAGATTTATGGTAAGGGACAGATTGGTTTGAGCAAATGTGAGGAAAAATATTTTCACCCAGAGGGTGATCAGAATCTGGAACTCAGTGGCTGTAAGGGTGGTGGGGGCAGAATTCCTCATAACATCAAAGAAGCATGTGATGCCAAGGCATACTACCCTATGGCTCAAGTGTGTAAAATGGGATTAGAATAGTTAGGTGGCTGTTTTTGACTGGTCCAGACTCATTGGGTTGAAGGGCCTCTTATTCTGTGCTGTAGACCTCTCTGACTGTATCATTCTCAGTGCCACTGTCTTCTGTCTAATAACTCACACTCACTCTATCTTGCTACAACAGCCATATGCCGCCAAGGCTCATGCTCTGTTGCTCTCACCATTACATGCAACATCTTCCCTCATTCTCCGTCATCCAGTCCAATAAAGATCAGCACGGCCTCTGCTCTCCCTAATAATGTGCAGAGGATCCCTCCCCACCTGCACCAACAGGAATAACTGTGCCATCACTTCCAATTCACTTAGGCTTACTTAAACATACCTGTCTCTCATTCTAGGAGGAAAACAGCCCACAAGAGGGCAGAAAGAGTCAAGACTTGTGGTGTGCTGCCAACATTCAGCTTTTCACTCCTAAAG